CCTTCCACTCTCCTCACCTTCCACTCTCCTCACCTTCCACTCTCCTCACCTTCCACTCTCCTCACCTTCCACGCTCCTTACCTTCCACTCTCCTCACCCAACTATCCATCCACGATGGCATCAGCAACACAATCCACAATTGAAGAGCCCGACACGAGGCTCTCAACCACGTTCTACGCCGAGTAAGTGACTGATACTGCCTTTCAAGTTTCAAATGACTAAAACGTGCACTCAGGCTTCTCAAAACTGGCGTGTTCTCGGATATTACATTCAAGTATGGAAAGCAACATACCTTCAAGCTACATTCAGTCGTCCTCAAGCCGAAATCGACGTGGTTTGCGACGCACTGTAAAGACAACTCAAAACAGATGTCGCACAACATCGATATATTTGACGATGGGCTTTCTATTGAGTGCCTTAACAACTTCAACCCTCGGCTGATTGAACACTGCAGCGAGCATGCAGCGGGCGATCGTTGTATTTCGGCTGACCATTTTACTTCCTTATTGGAATTCTGCTATCTCAACAATTATCCCCCACAGTTGTGGACGGGGATCGGCAGACAAACACTTTGCTTCTCTCACATATACATGTATTGTCTAGCCAAACGTTTTGGTGTCGACTCTCTCCTAGTTCTCAGTGCTACTGGCTTTGCACACACCATGAGTCTGTTACTTTTGGAGAACAAGAACGAAACGGCTTTCATCAGATTCATAAATCTTGTTTACGACCTACCGGTTCTAGAGGAGGATGATTTGCTTCGTGTTAAGGCTCGCCAGCAAGCTGCAAAATTCGCTGGAGGAGAATTCATTCGGCTTCGAAACTCTTTCGTCAAAGGTGTCAAGCAGAGTAGAGTCACCAAAGCGATGCCAAAAGCTGGTCAAGATCTTCTTACTTGCTCACTCAGTTCTGACGTGTTCGACCTTGCACAACCAATTCCCGATGAGCCGAGTACACCCGAGGTCTCGACCAAGGCTCATACTTGCGTACGATGCACAGTTTCACTCAACGCAGGAGCTGCCTCACCGGATTCCAAACTCTGTGACAAGTGCAAGCCCAAAGCACATAGTTGCTCAAACGTGGCGCTCCCTCCGAGTCGAGGCAACAGTATGACGCTAACCTTCTGGACTTGCGGTACGTGCAAACAACACTGGAACAGCGACGGGCCCAAGAAGCATGAAGCAATTCTAAACACATGTCCAGCATGCCCTGGCGGTTCGGTCGCCACTCCAAAGCCCCATCGAAAGAAGCATATAGATTGGAAATGTTCGGGGTGTAGTGGAGTGTGGCGAGCTTTTGCACTCAAGTTCAAGGAGGTGCCAACCATGCAAAAGTGTGTCTGCTGTCCTTCCAAACCTTAGTAGATGCAGTTACCAGGCTGTACGGACTTTTTTGGTTCTTGCTTTGTTTTGGTTGGCTCCTGTCTCCTATTTTCACAGGTTGGGAACTCATGACAGTGCGATTCCCTATCTCGGCAGGAACACATGGGCGTTTATCTTATGAGGTTATCTTGGGGTATTTTCAATCACTTACCATTCACTTTAGAGTGACTGTCTCCTTTGTGTCTTGTCTTTAAATCTACCGTCACCTCATGGTCACTGTCACACCTTGCGATGCATTGAAGTCGCTGTTTGAATCGATTCAAAGGAGCTGTCTTCGCACACCCTTTAGGATAAATCCGGCATGACCTTCTTTGATCCTCCATAACCAATATCCTGTCGCAAACATACGCGACTTACATAACGTATACGACATCAACCAAACACCCAAGTTATCAACATGAGCGTGTCATCTTTCAGTGTTATATTGACGGAAGAATTCCTCAAAGAGTACTGCACTTGCTTATCGACGAATAAGAGTCACACTAACAGCTGATAGACTTTTCAACACCAAAACATTCTCGGACTTTACGTTCACAGACCCAGGCGATTGTGAGCTTAGCTGCAAGGTGCACAAGGTGGTTCTTTCTGCCAAGTCACCAGTCTTCAAGCATCTCTTCGAAACGCATGACAAGGTAAGATCTGGACTCCACACAAGATATAACTCGAGGCAATATAGATGTACGGGAATACAATCTCTAAAATCCGCCCCAGTTAAACAGCAAAACACTAATCAAAAAGATGCCCTTCAATGAAATTCTGAGATACTGACAGGTGACAGGAAGCAGACTACCTCGAGTTACTTCGCTCCGAAGACACCATTTGTATAGGCAGCAAAGACGATACACAAAAAACAGCCCTTCGACGTGCCTTATCTGAAATTGTTCTCTTCTGCTACTATGGAGGCTTCAGTTACTGCCAACGTGACTATACCAAAAATTTCGAAGTTTCTGTCCTCCCACACCTCTTTGTTCACGACCTCGGCTTCCTTTTCCAGATTCCTGGGCTGATTGAACATGCGGAAGAGCAGTTCAAAAACAATTTCAAAGAAATTGTTCATCACGCCTCCAAGGAGCAAGTCACAAACGCATTTATGAAGTGCGTATCGACCGCGTTCAAGCGTGATAATGATTTTGGAGCACGCACGTTGGAGTTTGTGCGTCGCAGCACAATGGCATTGTTTAATGAACAAATCAAACACTACAAGAACTGTGGTCAGCTTCCGCTTGCGGTTGATTTGGCGAGGAATCTTTCTGAAGCACGCGATGATCTCTGCCGTCAGTTCAACCATGAGCTAGCTGGTTCTGAGAACTCAGAGTAAGTCGTCAATGATTTGGATCGGGGGTCTTAAGTAGGCGGGTGTCAGGCATTGATTCTGAACTGCGGTGGATCTCAAATGTATCTACACACTCATCAGATCCACTCGCGACATGCTACCGCGTTCTACCAAAGTCTATCTTGTCTCCCCCAAATTCTGCAGGACATAGGCGTCGCGTAGCCATGTGCTGTCTTGACATCTTTTGTCGTGTCCTGAGCCCACTCCCTTGGTGTCCACCACGTTTCACTGAGTGCTTCGTCCTGGGTGCAAGGCCAACCGTCCTTCTCTAGCTCCACTTGCTTGCTGTCTTCGACTTCGTTAGTCGTACCGCCTTGCAACTCCCCTCCATCCCCACATGCGTTCTCTCCGTCTTTCAAAGTAGACCATCCTCCGTTATTTGACGGACACTCTCGGTTGCGAATCATCTGTTCAGGCTCTCCCGCCGGTATGGCCCATTTGTAGTCCGGTTTTACCTCTTCGTGTAATGGTTTGGGTGACCCTCTGAAATCGGGAGAGGCCGCCCCATTGTGGTGAGCGTCTGTAGACATCTTGCGCGGTGTGTTCCATCCATGATCTGATTTGAATTCCACTAAAGGCCGGCCGAAAGTGTCGCCGTCGGCTGCTGCTCTCCAGTCGCCATAGCCTTGCAATGCTGTGCATTCAAGATCTTCTCCTGGTGCGTCGACATGTGAATCTATGATCTTTTAGCCCCCAGAGTCTATTGTTCGGGCCAGACGGCGGCACTCACTTTCATCGAAGTCCTCATCATCAGATAGAATACTTGGACTGCTCACATCTTCCCGCCTTGATATGAATAATGTTGCCGCATTTCTAGTTCTTAAGTCCATCAACTTGTCAGCCTCCGAGCAATCTCTCCCATACTTCCATTGTTCTTCACGCATATACTGCTCAAATCCTTCCATGTCCTCTAACGTTCTGTGTTTCCAGCTCTCGCGCTTCTTATCTAGAGCATACTGGAAAGCCACATTCTTCTCTTGCAGGGCAGAAGGCAACGCTTTAACTTCAATGTCTGTCTCTTGCATAGTCTCCTTTCGCTGAAGTGCCTTTTCGTTGGCTAGGTCGATAAGCCACTCCTCATGCTGGAGAAGCACATCCAGGCGGAATATCTCGCGACCAAGCATCCACTTCTCATCCTCGTCAGTGGAACGGTTTGACCTGTCTAATAGTACTTGTTGAGCCGCTACCGTGTCTCCTGATGAGTTGACCACCGTGGAAACTTCCGAGTATCGCCTCGCTGCTTCATCTAGACTCTTTGGTATATGGATTTCCGCAGACTCGAAGCGCATGCCCAGTTGAACGTACTCGGCTGCCTTGTCGGCATCTACAATCAGGATGCCTGTCGTTGGGAGTCTCTTTTCGCCATCTATCTCTTCTCGCGGCGCAAGCATGAAGTTCTCAACCCCTCCCCGATAATCGAGACCGATGCTTCGCAGTGCTTGAAGAGCCTTGTGGCGGACCAAGCATCGCTGGCGGTCGACAAAGTTGAGCTCCGGCTGTATGCGACGGATCATGCACCATGTGTCGATATCTTCGCGGGTATGGTTCGTGATTTTGAAGTCTTCCGACGGTGGATTATCAACGCAACTGAGATAGAAGAGCTGAGCTTGTGATGAATCGGTGGGCGCTGAGAGCAGATCCGTTGAAACTTTCGCATCCGAATGGAAGGCAAGATATGGTGGTAGGAAGTCTAGTAAGTATTAGCAGGTGAAGATCGTGCATTTTCGAGCATGCGTACAGAGGTACTGGGGATCGAGGTTCTCCGTAGAAGCCATAGCAATGTTTGTGATAGCAGAGAGCACGTCAAAGGTTGCTGTATGTTTGATGAGAATAGAGCAAAAGGGTAGCACTATATATAACAGAACTGTTATGGTCATCTAAATAGCGGCAGGCAAAGTAATTACTACGTTAGTGATATTGATAGGTGAGAGAGGTGTGCTGGTGCCTAAGAAAGACTTCATTGGACTAGTTTACGTCAACTACATAACTATGCTCCTGAGACGAGTTGTTGCAGGATTTTGAAGTGTTTAATTGGTGATTCGAGATTTTGCATAAGATCTTGTAGGCCTGCGTCGGCAAATTTATACTTTGAATCTTTGTGGTACTGATTCACCCAATCCTGATTTATCAGCGTGTCCATCAAGCAACCCGAAAGTCCTGCAAAGCTTGGTGTGTTCGATAAATGTGATGAGGAACAAGGAACACACATAAGCCTAACATAGTCGACAAGTTTCGTCGAAACTCATGGTTATTGAAACAAATGCTTCGGGTCGCCGAGCTGAGCCATTGTCGTTAGTGAGACAATCTCGAAAGGGAACCATCTGAGTGTGTAGTACAGATGGATGATGGAAGACTCCGTCGTTAGTACGTGCTGTAATTTTGACGACCTCATTTGTTGTGATGAAGCCACAAAGTGAAAGCTTCCTTGGGTAGACTTCTCGTGGTAAGAGACGCGTATGGCCGGTATAGAGTAGCGCAACCTTCTTTGAGGTCAAGTTCCTGCATTGGAATACTGCTGGAGAACTGGTCCAGTACGCCACGAGGCACAGGGTCAGAAACGGCCGGAAGGAGAGTTAAGCGCGGAATGCATAGCCCGGTTGGCTTCAAGACACTATTCAATCACCGAGTGACAGATGCAAGCCTCATCAGGTGCATCCCACCCTGTGCGTGAATCAACACACGCACATGCACTTCCAGAAGCTCTTTGCTCCGCAATCTGGAACATTTCTATGAGACACTCCAAGCCACGTAACGCCATTCTTCAAATCCCATGCCGACGAACTTTCTTTCACCCGCCAGCATCGTGTCTCTACAAATCCGTGTTCACCGACAATACACCGCTCCAGCAAAATGCTCATATCCGTAATCTGGAAACCCACCCTTCCGAATTCAACCACACGACCATCCTCGGGCCCTCAACATGCCATGCGGACTCCATGCCAATCGAAAAGCGGATCTCGAGTGGATCCGCAGAATGCCAAACAACCCAGCAGATGGGTTTCCCGGCAAGCACACGTTCAAGCGGCAGGTGCAGAAAGGTTCGGAAGGCGTCGTCAACGCATGGACCCACACCTCGACAGGCGTCGTCGTAGCAGTAAAGGTCATCAAATCCAAGGCGGAACTACCGCGTGAAGTCGAGATCCTGACGAAACTGCCACTGCACGATTCCGTTATCATGTGCCTAGCCTTCTATGATAAGCAGCCGGTATCAGACACCTTTTCAATTGTTCTCGAGTATTGTCCGCTCGGCGATTTGTACGACTTGTACTGGACAAAGGCGATGGTGAAGAATAGGGCCGTTGTTGCGGAACGAACCATGTGGACGGTACTTAGTCAACTTCTGAGCGCTGTTGCGTTCTTGCACGAAGGCATCGGCTGCAGAAACCCATTGGACGTCGACTACTGGAAACCGGTCGTGCATCGCGATATCAAGATGGAAAACATCCTAGTGAAGAGTCTAGGGTCGAAAGACGACTGGTCGGAAATGGTGATAAAACTCGGGGATTTTGGCCTGTCCGCTTGGTATGATCCAACAAATCCTATTCCATCAGAGACAACAGGAACTCCCTTATGCTGGCCGCCGGAAACAACCTGGGAAAACAAGACCATGACGCCGGCGGGTGATGTCTGGGCTGTGGGCACTGTGATCCACGAAATGGCACACGGATTCAAGCCAGTTGTCGACATGGTTTTGACTAAGAAGAAGTGGTATGGGGAGAACGTCGGGCGGCCGTATCCAGAGCATTGGCACGAGGCAACGAAGAAGCACTTTTGGTTTGCGAAGTCGCCGCGCAAAGTCCTGCCTATAAATGTAGACAGTCACGCGCTAGATCCACGGTCACACAGGCCGACTCCGAAGTACTCAAACTCGCTCAATGAATGCATGATGATGGCGCTGACCATGGAAATGGATGAGCGTCCGGGGTCTGGGGTACTTTCAGCACATGTTGAAGAGGCATATGCCGAGTACCTCTTCCAGGAGCTGAGGATTGAGAATGAAAGGGAGACCGCGGCCGCAGCAGAAGATGGCGATGAGGCGTGGTACGTCTAAACGAGTCTAGATACCCTTGAATTTTATTATTACATCCAGATGACAACAGAATTGCCTTCTCAAGGCATGTAAAAGCGCGACGTTGGCACGACCCCTCTGATGTGAAGTTTGCCATGACCATCCACGACGCGTGAAGTTCGCGACGCCGCTAGCTGACTAATCACCATCTACCCCTTCCACATCCACACGTCGCACAACCCTTCTCCTCCAAACATCACCACTCCCCACCCATCAACCGTACGTCCCCCCTCTCACACCCACCCTTTCCCTCACATGATGAACGGAAGCGCTGGTCTAAACCACCAGCGTAACCACAATACACTTGAACTGCAGAGCCCCCGACCTCCTGCTGATCCATCTTGTGGTTTGCTACCGCGTATGCTAGCCCGGATGGAGAGGTTGAGACGGGATTGGGGCTCCATGTGCGACACTAAGATAGCTCTGATGCTTGCGATGCGTTCAGGACTTTTGAAGCTTTTTTGGGGGAGCGTGCTGACTTTGGATACAGGTTCGCGAGGTTGCGTGGTGGGTTTTGGGATGTTCATAGGGATGTATAGGGATAGGTATGGTATTTGGTTTTGGTGCAGACAGTATAGTTGGCGTTGTTCTAATGAAAGTTCTTTCTCTTCGGCTTTTGTCTTGACGATAACCTAAACCCCAACCATTTGCGCAAGACATGTAGGCAACGATCTTTTTCCCCGAGATGTCGCCTCCCTCTTATTACCCTGAAAACACCAACCCTGAAGAAACCCACGCCAGTAAACACCTCCTAGACTCCTAAACATAAGACCACTCTGCCAAACCACTACCAAAACACACGCTTATCCCATCCCATCCCCCTGCCCATCTCCTCAAATCCCTACCCCAACCCCCCAAACCTCCCAATCTTAAACCCCATCAAAAACAGCAACTCCGCCTCACGCTCCGAACACAGTACACACGCATCCGCGAGCCGGACTGAGGGTGAGGGGCGTGTGTGTCTCATAGTCGAAGATGACGACACGCTCAAAGACGTAGAAGACATGGACGACATGGACGACGAGCAAGAGCGAGGATGTGCCGTAGCCATAGACATAGATATTTCGCCGTTCTTGGTAGAAGAGCAGTGTGATTCCGTCGTCGTCGTCGTCGTACTTTGTAGAAAAAACAGTGTGGTGTAGTCGAGTTTCAACGTTGTCTCGACATGTATAAAATCAATGGCCAGATGATGCGATATATGGCGCTTCCCTCCCCTTTTCCCTGTATTTGCACTTGCTCAACACTCTCAAACACAGCACTGTACTGCGCCATAACGCGCCATACCGACCCCTCATGCGCGAATCCTGTTCAGCGAATCCCAGCGCTGGGGATGGGGGTGCTGCATGTCTGGTCTGACTGCATACCTCCCCCCTCTCTGTCTGTCTGTCCGTCCGTCCGTCCGTACGTCTAGAGTAGCACAGCAACACATCGCTTCATCACACAAGGGACCTCACAGCAAGATAGTTTTGTTTCTTGTTCGGGCTGTTTGCGTCCCGGCGACCGAACTTGATGTGAGGGAGGTGGCATAAGACAAGGTGGCATAAGACAAGGCTCCGCAAGGTAATATTTGGTAAGGTTGGGTAAGTTTGGGCAGGGTGACGCGTATTGGATTGGATTGGGTGTGATGGGGGTATGATGTAGATCAGCAAATAGGGAGTGATGTTTGGTTTGGTGGGAGGACCGACCGACCAACCGACCAAGCAACACGATGGAAGAATGTGTGGATAAATGGCTACATAGCACGCCATTCCGTTCCGGGAGCGCGTTTGCGGAGGGCTGGGTTCGTGATGCGATGTGAGGTGATATGGTGTGATACACCACCCATCACAACCACGTACAAGACTTGCATTTCATTTCACTTCACGTTGATGATGATAGTAGCAAGTAGCAAAGCCACCGATCAATAAAGACAATCTAGCAAAAAAGGGGGGTATCTAACCACACGCCGCGCAACAAGTAGGCCATGTATCACACAAAAAAACCAAGAGAGGAAACACACACTCCCATCCAATCCAATCCCATCCCATCCCATCCCATCCCATCCCATACAAAGCGCAAAACCCATAAACACCACGCTAAACCCCAAAACCTCCCTCGTCCCACACGCACAACCTTCAAAAACACCCCCGCTAAACAAAACAATGCACGCGCACACTCCCGTCCTCACTCCCACTCACGACCCTTTCATCGCTGAGCCCCACACACGTAACCGGCCCGGTATGCCCCGTTAGCGTACGCTCGTGTTTCCCCGTCCGCGGGTCCCAGATCTTGATCGTCTTGTCCTCCGCGCCACTAACCAGGCGAAGTGAGTCGGCAGCCAGACTCCATATGCCCTCCACGTGGCCGAAGAAGCGGTGCACGCAGCGCCCACTCGGCACATGCCAGAGGCGGATCGTGCCGTCGAGGGAGCCGGTGAGCATATACGACGGGGGCGCAGGACGCGTGGGGTCGTTAGGGAAGAGGGGGTTTTCGTCAAGGATAGCGGGGGTAGGGAGGGGAGTATCAGAAGCGAGGGACGCGGTATCAGAAGTATCGTTATTCGCATTAGCAACAAAGTCGTCCTCGTCGATTTCGAATTCATGCGGGAGGGGCAGGACTTGTTGGACCTGGCCGACGTGGCCCTCGTAGGTTTTAATGCACTGGTGGGTGTCGAGGTCCCAGAGCTTGACTGTCATGTCGTCCGAGGCGGAGAAGAGGGTGCGTGAGGGGAGGTCGATTTTCACGCTGTTGACCCAGTCGAGGTGGCCGCGGAGGGTGATGCGTTGGTAGTTGTTGAAGTCGTGGACCATGATGGTGTCGTCTGATGAGCCCGAGGCGAGGAGCTTGTCGGCCATGTGTAGGCCGATGACGCCTTGGGAGTGGCCGGTTAGCGTGCGGATGAGCTCGCCTGTCCGCCAGTTCCATACTTTGATCGTGTTGTCCAGGGATCCTGTGATGAGTTTGGTGTCGTCGAATTGCAAACAGCGGATGCCCTGTGTGTGGCCGGTAATGGTTCGGATCTCTTTGCCAGTGTTGATGTCCCAGACCTTGACAGTGGCGTCGTAGGATCCAGTCATGAGGATGCGGTCGTCGAATTGCAGGCACATGACGCCGTTGGTGTGTCCTTTGATGATTCTGGTCGAGTAACGTCCGTACTTCCAGTTGGTGCCGACTCTGAAGCGGTCCTTGTAGACGTCCTTCCACGGTCTCTTTTTGGGCTCGTCGAAGTAGGATGCCGATTGGTCTCGAACCACGTCACTGCAAGGCCTTTTAATCGGAGCCTCTGGGGAAGATGGTTCTTCTACAGCGGCACGCTTGGAACCAGTCGATGGTTCTGTCGTACTGGACGCACGGTGAACAAGGGCTGTGGAGGGTTCCTGGGTTTCTGGAGCGGGCGTGATATCTGGTGACCATTGGTTCAGACCCCGTCCGGAGGCTCGCAGCTGTATCCTCCTCTTCTCGATTCGCAACCGACGCTGGTCCAGCAATGGCAGCCCCCACCCACACTTTGTGCATTTCCTGTCAATGTGCTGCTCACACATCTTGTGCCAAACAACGTCGTCGTCGGCCAGCTGTCTCCATCTTCGACTGACCTGAGAGGCTTTGCATAGTGAGGTGGTGTCGAGGTAGCAGAGAATCTTGAAGCCCAGCTCGGTGGGCAGTGCGGCGAGGAAGTCGATCTTGATGAGATTGCGGACGGACGACGAGACGAAGGAGAGCTGGGGGAAGCAGCATTGGGCGAGGATGCCCTGCAGCATGAGGTTGCGGTGGCGCGAGGGGGCGGCGGAGAAGAGCGACCAGACGTTGGCGATGCTCTGCTGATCTGTCTGTGACTCCCTCCCAAGCTCCTGGAAGCCGTCAGTAGCCGCTACGGCGTCGAGGGCGAGATACGTACGTCTTGCAGCTGCTCCATGGAGGGCTCGTCTGCCTGTCGGCGACACAGCAGGTCTGGGCGGTGGCGGTAGCAGTACTTTGTATTCGCATTGAGGAGCGGGGCATCTGTGCCGTCTCTGTTACCCCCGAGAGGATTGTACTGCTGTGGTATGTGCTGGGCGAGATAGGGCGGGATCATCCTCTCAATCTTCTTGGACTTTGCTGCGAGGGCTTCTTCGACATCGTCGACGCTGTCTCGGTGCAAGTGTCTGGTCCGCTCCGACAGGCGCTCGTGGTCGTGGCCATGCATTAGGGCGGTATGGGGGTCGGTAGAAGTAGCCGTGGCGTGGTCGGAGGGCGGCAGCTGGGTGCGCCAGGACATGCGCCTGCGTCTGGGGGTATTGGAGAGAGCGGGCGCGCGATTGCGATCGACGGCGACGGCTTCGACAGTGTGGGTGATGTTTGACGCCATCTTGGGGGATATGGCGGCAGGATTGCACAAGGGCTCAGTTGCAAGGTGCACTCGCGGTAGCCAAGCAGGGCGTAATCATGAAGCGGGCGGTCGTGTCGAGATTCTGGGGTAAAATCGCGTGCGAGCTCGATCCAAGGGTCTCTGCTCTCGGGACAAGGTTCCGGTAAGCGATGCGACAAGACCTGAGCGACGTTGGGCGGTTCAAGTGTAGACGGGCGTGGTGTGGGCGTGCTGGGTGGAGAAATTCGGCGCAGTCGCATGCGGACGGCCTGCTTTTGAGTCTGTGGATGTGAAGATGTGAGGAGGGCACGTTCAAGGGCCGTCGGGCGGACCGTCGCCTCCCACGATGGCGCAATGCGAACCCTCCGTTGCATCTTCATCACGCCATAGCCACTTTTGACTGGAGACATTCCCCGTGGTGATGCAGAAGTTGTGCGTAGCGTTACGTCTAGCGCATCGCAGCAACAATCTCATATCGAAGCCATGGCTCCAGCATGTCCGCGGCTGCTCTTTGTTGCTCGCGCCGTCTCACGTCAGATCAGATGGACCCTTCAGCCTTGCCGACAGCTAGCGTCACCACCTCGACGGAGCTCCGACGACAGCTCGACCACCATGGTCCTCGCCTTTGCCATGTCTGCCCTGCACACACAGCACTGGCACGATTCTGTAATGATATGGTTCCTGCACTGAATGCCCCAGCGTCTTCGCTTTGATCTACTTGACTTATAATTACACTGACGCCTGCCTGCCGCAATGGCATCTCCCACCTCTCCAGCATCGTCCACAAGCAGCGTGGGCTCGCGGACGTCGGCTGACGACCACCATGACTACCCAGAGACACTCGATGGTTTACTGACCCACTTTGTCGCCTCCAAGCGCTCGCTCAACACCCAAACGGTGCTGTGGCGCGCCAACGACATAGTCAACACGGCGCGTGAGCTGCTTGAAGAGAACGCCATTCTAGTGGCAAAGAATACAGCTATACGGAATATCGTCGATGAACAAGTAGACACGCTTGAAGCCCTTCGCCGCGGCATAGACGTAGTAGAGAGTGAGGTCGCGACAGAGTTCAAGGTACACTCTCTGGTGACACGCTCCATATTCCACTGACGAATAAGTAAGCAACTGCTTCACCATGTCGACACATCCTTTGCAGGCCTCAACTCGACCCTCGCCGTCCTACGCGAGACGCCCATCGAAGCCGTCCTGCAGCCTCCCGGCACTCCGCAAAAACATCTCTACGACTTCATCGACAGCACCACCGTCTCCAATCTCGAAGGCGTACTGCGCGCCTGCATAGACCGATACAACGACGCCCGCGCCACTCTCGACGACAGTGCTGATGCCTTCGACACCGCCCTTGATAACCTACATTCCTCCATCGAGAACGTGCCCATGACACCCGCATCCACCTCGAACCCGAGCCCGATACCAAGTCTATACCGCGATCTGGAGGCACACGCAAAGGAAGCTGCACAGGCATTCCAGTCGTTAGTACAACACTACGACCTCTGCGTCACTGCCCTCCGCCACACTGAAGGCGGCTCAGCAGCAGCAACCCAAGCAACCGGCGACGCGCCCCTCCACTCCGACACCGACTTCGCCGCGGAACCCGACCCCATGAGCGAAGAAGAGCGCCAAGAAATGCTCGCCGTCCTGCGCAAAGACGCCCACGAGGTGGAGGAAGTGGTCCACGAGATCCGCGAGCGCGGCTCCGAAATGACATTCATCCTCAACCACATCGAAGACCACATCCACCACCTGCGCAACGAGGCGTCCGCCCTGACCAGCGTCCTGCAGATGATCCACAAAATCACACAGGAAGTAAAACACCACATCCTCACCGCGCGCCAGTTCCACGCCGCCTGGCTCGACGACACACGGCCCACGCTACTCAACGGTATCGAAGAATGGGAAAACCAACGCGAATTTTACGAGCGCTTTGACCTCGCGTATGCGGAACTTCTGGTCGAGGTTTCATCGCGGCGGAGGAGGCATGACAAAGCGAAGCGCAAAGCCGAGGATGCGCAGAAAGAGCTGGATCGACTACATGCTGAGGACGAGCGTGCGAGAGAGGGGTTCGCACTTGCCCAGGGCGACTTCTTACCGCTGGATATCTGGCCTGGGCTGAGGGAGCCGCCGAGACGGTATGAGGTCAAGGCTGTTGCTGGGGAGAGGGGTGTGGATCAGGAGAAGGAGAAGGAGAAAGATGATAATGCAGGCGCGGAGGGGGAGGAGCAGGGGTTGGCGAGGAGTATACCGCTTTTGGGGCGGAATGTGGTGGAGAGGGCGTTGACGAGGGTCAAGAGGAGGATGTAGGATGAAGTTCTTTTTCTTTCTTTCCTGGTCAAGCGAGTTTGGTCGTGGAGTTTTGGGAAGTATTGGGTTTCCTTCTCTCTTCTATTGGTTTCTGTGGGCTACAGATTGATGCTACGCGCATCATCGGGCAGTGCTTTCGAAGTTCGAGGACAGTCTTGTTATGCTGAATATACGCGATTGCCAATTTGGAACGATCGATCTTGCTTTCACTCGGCTGAACTCACGCTCATGCGCACGCGGACACGTCCAGCCCCACGCGCAATTAAATTTGTAACAGTCTCGCAGAATCCACACATCCACTCTACCAACCCCATTCTCAACCAGATTCCGCTCTGTGACGACTCGAACTCTTATCTACAGGTAGCAATTTCATCGTAACTGGCTTTCGACTTGCCTAGCTGGGCTCCGTCTGCTGTCCGTGGCAGCGCACTTGATCGAGTCGAAGCTCCTGCTACGGTGCGAGGCTACTTTCTCTGCGTCTTTGCAGCTTTTGGGGGGGTACTTTTTGGATATGATTCCGGGTATATTAACGGTGTGCTGGCTATGAAGTATGTCAAGCAGGAGTATGGACGTAAATCTCACCACATCCTGCTTATCGGCCACTTCGCGCGCGTCACTGACACCAGTCGCAGGCCCCTCAAGTGTCGCAGATGCCTACCATGGCCATATGTACGCAACCTGGGAGCAATCGCTCATCGTCTCGATTCTCTCCGCTGGAACCTTCTTAGCGCACTCTTCGCCGGCTCGCTCGCAGACTGGATCGGCCGTCGGTCCACTATCATCTCGGGGTGTGATATCTTCTCTCTCGGCGTCATCTTCCAAGTCGCTTCTACAACCGTACCCGTCCTCGTCGTGGGCCGCCTGATCGCAGACATCGGCATCGGCATCGGATTCATCAGTGCCGTCATAATTCTGTACATGTCTGAAGTCGCACCTAAAGGCGTTCGCGGCGCTATCGTCTCCGGCTATCAGTTCTGCATCACCGTTGGCTGCTATTGGTGGCTATGTTCTCAAGGATCGAATGGACTCGGGTTCTTACCGCATTACTATGTCTGTTCAGTGGGTTTTTGCGTTGATCTTGGGGATTGGCTTGTTCTTCCTCCCCGAGTCGCCGCGTTGGTACGTCAAATGCAATCGTCTGGAAGATGCTGCTTGCGCTCTGAGCACGCTTCGTGGACAGCCCGCCGACTCGCAGTACGTCAAGGATGAACTCGCGGAACTAGTAGCAAACTACCAGATGGAGCACAACGTTCAAGCGTCCTGGGTGGACTGCTTCACGGGTGAATGGAAGCCGTCGAGCAATCTTCGCCGCGTCGTACTCGGTATGACGCTGCAGATGATGCAACAATGGACCGGCGTCAACTTCAGTACATCCACCCCTCATAATTATCAGACTTGGTTACTAACTCCGCATAGTATTCTACTACGGCTCTACATTCTTCAAAACCGTCGGTATCCACAACGCCTTCCTCGTCTCCATGATCACATCCGCAGTCAACGTCTGTTCCACACCCCTCTCCTTCTAGCCCATCGAGCAGCCAGGCCGACGCGCCCTCCTCATCCACGGAGCCATCGGCATGCTAGTCTGCGAGTTCATAATCGCCATCGTCGGCACCGTCAACAGCGGCAGTAAAGCCGCTTCCACCTGCCTAATCGTCTTCACATGCATCTACATCTTCTTCTTCGCGACGACCTGGGGCCCCGCCGCATGGATAGTCATCGGCGAGGTGTTCCCGCTCTGCATCCACACCAACTCTCCACTTCGTCGAACTAGCTGTGGAATTTCGTGATTGGATTCATCACCCCCTATTTGATGAACGAGGAGTACGGTAACCTCAAGACGAAGGTCTTTTTTGTTTGGGGGAGTACGTGTACGCTGTGCGTGCTCTTTGCGTACTTTTTTGTTCCCGAGACAAAGGGGTTGGCGCTGGAGCAGGTTGATCGTATGCTGGAGGAGACGACGCCGCGTGGGTCGAGGAAGTGGGTGCCGTGTGCGATGTATGCTGGTCGGGATGAGGCTTCTCTTGGCCGGGGCGGGAAGACTGGTAGCCTGGGTGCTGCTCAGCGGGAGTTTCGCTAGTGTGGAGATGTTGGGACGATGTTTCATGCTGTCCTGTTGCGAGGAGGTCGCACTTCTTACAGTGATGTTCTCCATCAGACGGCGATTTTTTTTTCCGGCGCGAAACGGGGTGCAATGCGTTGTGTTGGCGTTGAACAACCGGATGATCGTATGTGGGTTTTCAAGGCTAACATCCAGACTGCGATGACGGTGCTGGTCTTATTTTTCTCATATACTCTCAGTTGCTGTACATGGCTTGTATCGTGTTATCGGTCAACACAAGCTCCAGCATTTGTCTCTCCTCTATTACTCAATTTCCTTAGCTGTGGGAACAGAACAACAAAGCGTAAGACGAATTTAATGGTAGCAGTATGGACAATACTTATCAATGTTTAAATTAATGCTGACCCCTTCCTTGTATGCTCCTATCTACACAATCTCTGTACCTAGACACCGATATACGCCCAGCATGCTCGCAAACAAGCAATCCGCACCCCAAACGCCCCGCAAAAGCCAACAAACCCATATAACACTCCCACTAAACAACCTTCCATCCCCATCCCCAACCCACCCCCCTCTTTCTCCTCCCAACAACACCAAAGAAACCTCTCACCCTTCCTTCGGTTTCCGCCCATGCACAAAACAGAACCTAATATAAAGATGCAGATTCCGATTCCTCACATCCGCCACGACCTTCGCAATCATAACGCGACACTCAGCCTCGCTCCATCCGAGCAATTTGCCCAGGAAGCCGAAGGTGTAGGGCTCGACGCCCACGGCGAGATGTTCGCGGCCGTAGCGCCCGATTTCTTTCATGCGCGGGTCTTTGGGCCAGGGACCTACTGGGACCTTTTTCATGGTCAGTATCGTTCCTGCACACACGATTTACATGTCGCCCAGCGGCAGTAAATGTAATACACATACCTTGATAACCTTCTCCTCCACATCCACAAACCCCGCCTGAACCATCCTCCGCTTAAGCGTAAGCCCAACACAAAGCTCAATCCCCGACCCCCTCGCCGCCTGCGCACACAGTGCCTGCCACTGCAGAATCGTCTGCGCGCGCTCAATCGTCCCGTCATCGCTCTCACACAGCTCAATCGGCTCCTGGAACTCCAGCCACCCCCCGGGCTCAAGATGCGCATACGCCTGCCGCACAAGACGATCCCAATCTGCCAGGCTGCCGCTCATGGTGCGCACGTGGATGAAATCAAACGCCTCGGCGCGAGTGTACAACCACTCGCTCTCCGCGTCGTCGATGAAGAACTTCGCGTTCGGCGGGATCCATGTGGGTTGTATGGGGGATAGATCGATCCCGATGACCTCGCTCCCCGGGTTCTCGTCGGCAAAGTCAATCGCCCATATGCCCGTCCCGGTACCGATGTCCAGAACGCGCGAGGGCGCGGAGATAAGCGGTGCGTCGTACAGTTTCCCGCCCAGGATGAGAAGGAAGATGTGGTGCAGTAGGTCGAGGCGGTCTTGCTCTTGCTCGTCGTTGGGGAGCACGTAGGCGCCGCTGCGGTAGGCGTGGTAGCGGCGCCCGTTGATGTACTCGTAGTTTAGGACTGAGGAGGCGAGCGAGGTGCTGGTGCTGGAGAGGCTGGAGCCGAAGCCGCTGTCGGTGTCGCTGGGGCTGCTGTCGGGTTCGAGGTGGAGGGTGGATTGTAGGCCGGTGGGGG